TCACCCCCACCCCCACCCCCACTGCCTGGGCCTGCGCCAAGGCTGTCTATTGGTTCTTGATTCATTTCACACACACCACCCATCCCAGGCCCAGGACTCGGTAGAAGCAGCAGCTTCCCAGCTGGCTTTCTCCCCTCTGACCGGCCCAGAACCAGAGGCCATCCACGTAGGCCCAGTCTGCCTGCCTCCTTTCTCCCGGTTGTATGGCTAAAGCGATCTTGGCCTGGGGAGGAGGGCGAGGTTAGTGGCTCAGCACCTGAGGGTGATTTGCCCCACTGTCCTCTTAGGCTCTCATTACATCACCCTTGCTCCTGGCCCCCGGGAATTGCCTTATCGGTGTCACCAGGCCACCATGGCTGAAAGAACACTAAAAGTTGGGGGTCAGAGAGGCGGAGAAGCCAGCCGCTTGGCTTCTGTGGTGGCCCAGGTGGCTGCTCCCACTGGCCGGCGTCTACATCACTCCCACGTGGTGAACAACCTCCAAGTCAGTCACTGCCACAGCCACCCCGGGTGGCTACAGGGTTTGTGACCAAAGAGTCAGCCTGGCATGGGGGTATCCTTCATGCCCCTGCGGGAAGCTGGAGAGAAACCTGGAAGGCAGCTGCTTTGGGAAGAGGGGCCAGGTTGCTCCGGCTGGGCTCTCAGACACAGAGGCCGCGGTCCCACTCCAGGCAGCACCGTCCAGTGCCCATGCCGAGCGGTTCTGCGTCCCTGGCTGCACCTGTTTGCAATGACTAGAAAAGGTATCAGGTGGCGTTTATTTTCAGGTTTCTTTTGGTAAAATATGCACAACACGGAGTGGGCCGTTCGAAGTGCTTTTAGGTGTTCAGAGGCATTGAGCACATTCACGCTGTGCAGCCCTCACCGCCCTTCATCCCCAGGACTTGTTTTACCCCCCAGACCAAGCTACTCACCAGACATAGTCCCCGCCCCTGGCCGCACCATTCTTTCTTCAAAAAGTATGCACAGTATCTTTCATTGATTTCAGAGAGGTAGCAGCAGTAGTGATGAGAGAGAATCATTGTTCAGCTGCCTCCTGCACGCCTCCCCTCACCCCCGGCATGTGCCCTGAGCAGGAATGGAACCATGACCTCAGGTTCACAGGTCACACAAACACTGAGCCACACTGGCCGGGCCCTTCTGTCTGCCTGGATTGATGGCTCTCAGTACCTCACGTAAGAGGAACTGAGCAGTGTTTGTCCTTCTGTGTGTTACCTCACTGCGTGTAACGTCTTCAGCCTGTGTCAGGCCTTCTGTTTAAGGCTTAAGGCTGAGTAATCTTTGGTTGGTACTGATCTTTTTCACAGGCTTTTTCAGAAGCTAAAGCTCATTCCCTTGCTCGAGGCTGTCCCGGGGAAGCTGTCTGTCCTCTGGAGGGAGCAGAGGCAGTCCCTGGTGGTGCTGTGCTGGGAGGAGGACTCCCTGAGTGCAGGCACTGCGGGCTGGGTCTCTGCTCTGGCACTTTGCTGGGGGCTTCCTCAGGTCATCGGGCACCTGTGCAGGGCCCGCTGCTGTGTCCGAGCACAGGCTGTGCTCCCACTGCTGCTGCTTCCTGGTTCGGCCACATCCATCGTCTGGCCCCTGAGGGGAGGGCAGAGGGGCGCTGCGGGCCTCCTTCAGGAACAGTGCCTGGAGAGGAGCCGCAATGCTTGTCCCAGGTCTTCCTGGGGTTGAAGGCTCGCTTTGCTCTTACACATGTAAGGAGAGCCACGACTTCTGGCCCTTCTGGCGCAGCACGTGTCTTCACTTAATACTGATGGCCTTTCCCTTAGAACCCATGCTTCTGGTCTGCTCCGTTCACCTCTTTCTGGCTGACCCTGCGCGTAGGTAGTCATTGAATTAATCAGCTGATGGAGCCTCCGGGGTGCTCAGAGCCAGACTGGGCACTCTGTCCCATAGGAGAGCTGAGGGGGAGGGGCGTTCCCCACGTTAAAGGTGGGAAGCTGAGGCATGGAGGTCAAGTATGTGTGCAAGGCTCCGACAGGCTGCACGGTGCTGGCTGGTGGCCGAGCGCCTTCTTTGTGTACGGCTCAGAGGCTCCTGTTTCCTTAGGCACCGAGGCCTGGTTGTTGATGTGAGCATGTCACAAAGTTCCATCTAAGAAGCTCTGAAATGAAAGTTACTGCAGCTGAAACCGGTGTGGCTCAGTGGATAGAGCGCCAGCCTGTAGACTGAAAGGTCCCAGGTTCGATTCCGGTCAAGGGCATGTACCTGGTTGCGGGCACATCCCCAAAAGGGGGTGTGCAGGAGGCAGCTGATCGATGGTTCTCTCTCATCGATGTTTCTAACTATCCCTCTCCTTTCCTCTCTGTAAAAAAAAAAAAATCAATAAAATAGATTTTTTTAAAAAGTTATTGCAACTGTCAGTGCTCATGCCCAGTGAGTACCAGGAGGGCAGGTCATGCCAGGCGCTGGTCCATAGCAAGGACACTTGGGTAGTACACAGGGCAGTCTTTAAAAGATTCTTGCTTTTATTTTTTACCTTTTAATCCACGCGCAGGAACATATATTTTTAATGGATTGTAGAGAGGAAGGGAGAGACAGACGTGGCCAGTTGTCTCCCCTACATTCCCCTACCAGGATCAAACTCATGACCTTCAGGTATAGGGACAGCACTCAAGCCAAGGCAAACGCTGTTGCTGTCACACACCTTCTGTAATCCTGCTTTAGAAATTCCGTTTTTGGAAGTGCTTAAAGTAACGGGGGGATGACTGTGTTTTTGGCTTAAAGGGGGAGACGTGACCTAGTCCAGCGGTCGCCAACCTTTTGGACCTTGAGGGCCATCGGTTGGACGGCTAATCTAGGTGGTGCTGTCACCGCACCGCGTACGGAGGTTGCCCAGCCACCTCTTCCCACGCACGGGGACTGTCAGCTGCCTGCCAGTCGGCACGCCGAGGGCCCGTGTCTGCTCACCGCTCCCACGGGGAGCCCAGCCAGCATGCTCGGGCTGTGGGGCACCGTGCGGGGAGTTAGCCCGGGTTTTCGGGGGCTACCTGGCATGGTGTGAGGGTGCTCCCGTGCCCGTCAGGGGCACTGGGAAATGGTGTGTGAGATGCAATTACAATTCGGTTACAGTTGCAACACTTCCTGCCTCCCCAGTCTGCCTCTACCATGATATAACCATGTCCCTGTGTACGTCGTGTACAGGCCCCTGAGTGCAGTGTCCCCTCTCAAAAATGGGTGGTTGAGTGGACCATTAAATTGGTAAGAACAGCCCAGCTGGCGTGGCTCAGTGGTTGAGCATTGACCTATGAATCAGGAAGTCACGGTTCAATTCCCAGTCAGGGCACATGCCCGGGTTCCAGGCCCGATCCCCAGTGTGGGGTGTGCAGGAGGTAACTGTCGATTCTTTCATCATCGATGTTCCTCTCCCTCTCCCTCTCCCTCTCCCTCTCCCTCTCCCTCCCTCTATGAAATAAAGAAAAACATGCTTTTTTTTTTTTAAATCGGTAAGAACACAGGAAACATCGGCCTCATCCCCCGCCATCCAGTCCGTCACCTCTGCTCCTCCCGCTCACTGCCACCCCTCCCAGCCCACGGTTGTGTCCTGTCTGGGTTGCTCTGAGTCTCCTTACGGCCTGGGTTTGACTGGTTCGTCTTCCATCGGCCCTCGGAGCACCGGTGACAGGATCTCTGAACGTGGCCTCTGTCTGAAGCCAGTGGTACCGTCCATCCTGGGTCTCTGGCCACTGCACAGGGCAGTGCTTGTCTGGACATCTGCGCTGTGCCCACCGTCCTGCTGTGCTTCTGGAGCAGCCCCTCATTTGGGCCTGATCTGAGGCACTTCCTCCGGGCCTGGCTTGGGCCTCTATCTGCGAAGGCACAGTGATCTGAGGCACTTCCTGGGGCCGCTCTGGCCTTGTTCCAGCCCTCTGCTCCCTCCTGCTGGACGGCCAGGGCCTTCCGGCTTTGTTTCTGGCTTCTCTCTGTTCCCCTTTCTCTCTCTGACATGATGTGCTCCCCACCGGTACCCGGGTCTCCTGGGCCTGGCAGCGGCCTTGGGACCTGCCTGCCCTCAGCAGCTCTTTCCTGGGTCAGTTCGTGGATACAGCTGGTTTTGTCATGGTGGGTTCTGGGGTCGGGACGCCCTGTTTTGTTTAAAAAAATATATATGTATATTATATATATATATATATATATATATATATATATATATAATATTATTTTATTTTTTTTACAGAGAGGAAGGGAAAGGGAGAGAGAGTTAGAAACATTGATGAGAGAGAAACATCGATCGACTGCCTCCTGCACACCCCCTACTGGGGATGTGTCCGCAACCAAGGCACATGCCCTTGACCGGAATCGAACCCGGGACCCTTCAGTCTGCAGGCTGATGCTCTGTTCACTGAGCCAAACCGGTTAGGGCAGGATGCCCTGTTTTAAATATGGTTCTAATGTGTCCTGGCTGCGGGCTTTGGCACGTTCCTTTCCCTGATCCTCCTCAGCTTCCCTGCGTGTGCAATGTGACCGCACAGAGCCTGCCCCCTCCTCGGGTGGCAGGGGTTACATGAGACGTGTTTGCAGAGTGCAGTGCCCTCTCTTCCGACGGCCTCTCACCTGCATGACCGGGAGCCTTTGTTGGTGAAGGCCACCTTTCCCACGACCCAGCCCCTGCCCTCCCACACACTGCCTTCCTCCTCCCCTCCTGCTGCTGGGAGTGCCCCTTCTTCCCTGGCCGTTTTCCGAAGGCTAGCTTTCCAGGCCCTCTGGCCCTGCCCTTGCTGGGCCACGAAGACAGGTGTGGGTGGCGTGGTAGAGCCGGCCCTGGGGCCTTGGGCATGGGCGCATGTGGAAGGAGCCAGCGGAGCTGAGCGTGGTGGGCAGTGCAGGCGGCAGGTTGTCAGCGTGGTCCCTTTACTTTCAGGACCCGGAGGAGATCTGCGTGGCCCCGACTGCCGTGCTGGCCGGAGGATGCGGGAGCGGCAGGCAGGAGGGGCTGAGCACGCGTGACGTCCCTGCGGCCTCGGTCCCGGCCGTCTCCGCCCGCCGCGGGAAGCACCATGAGCACGGTGAGTCCCAGCGCCCTTTTCTTTCCAGGCTCGCGTGGCGGGCGGGCGCTGAGGAGGGGCCCGCTCGGCGCCTTCGGAGTGAGGCGACGTGCTGGCTAGCGGGCAGGGCTGGTGGCCTCTGAAGGCAGGCTGAGGGCGGGAATCCTGTGCCTGCAGGCCAGCTGCCGGCCTAGAATGTTAGGCGCTGGCTTATGTAGCCTCCACAGCCCAGTTCCCACCCTCCCTCAGGGCCGCCCTGGGCCGTGGGGGTGCCGTGTGACGTGGGAGAACCCGCAGAGGCACTGCGGCGAGCTGTTCCCAGGTGCGGCCCCAGCTCTGCTTTGGCGTCGCCGAGTCCCCCACTCGAGGGAACGCTGCCGGGAGGTGGTCTCCCGTTCACTCCTCCCCACAGGGCTGACCGTTGGGCTGGCTGTGGAGGAGATGTTGAGCTCCATCAGCTGGGCCAGAGGGAGGCAGCCTCGCTCCTTGCAGGGGCAGGGGTGCTGGGAGCGGGGGTGGAGGTGGGGCAAGGTGAGGTTGCACAAGCGGCTCCTGGGTGAACAATAATAGAAACGTTTCCATTGCCATTCACTGCCCGGTCCACCTCCTGACCACGCAGGGAAGCACGAGTCCTGAGCTGTCCTCTCTGAAGCCCACGCTCTGCTCATGGGGATTGGCAGGCGCAGTGCAGTGTGGAGGACAGTGCAGTCAGTCCGATGTCCTCTGGATGGGAGGGAGAACTAGGTGGTCGTGTTTAACTGAGAGCTGTGGGCCGTTTGGGCGCTGTGAGGAGGGCAGGAGGGCAGAGAAGGGTGAGGGTGCAGCGTCCTAGCTCACGTTCTGCAGTTTCTGTCCTGGGCCCCGACCCAATAGCACGTCCTCCCTGCCCCGGGGAGTGCACTTGCAGGAGGTCCCCAGACAGTCCAGCTGGGCACAGGGGGCATGTCTCTGTGATGGAGGTGACATCTGAGTAGGTCTCTGAAAGCGGTAGGAATCTGGTGAAGGCGGGGAGGGACGGGTGGTCCAGGCTGGAGACAAGGCATGGAGGAGCTGAGGGGGCAGCCAGGAACGGGGATTGCTGGGGGTGGGAGTGTTGGGGACACATTGCTACAGTGCCTATGATGGGGTGGTCAGGTCCAGCACCTGGACTTTGGCCCAGGCTGTGGCTGCCTCTTCACTCACTCAGTGAGGATCAGAAACCACATGGGCTGCAGTGGGCATGAGGGTCTGCAGCCGTGACTCCTCAGGAAGATCTGGTCCTTTGCAGAGACAGGAACAAGCAAGGCCAACTTCGGGAGCCTAGGGCACCTGGAGGCTGCTGGGAAGCCATGAGTGGGCAGACAGGCCCCCCTCACAGAGACCTGAGCTTCCTCTGGCCCCTGCTTCTCACCCATGGGAGTTGCTAAACCCAGCCCTCAAGCGGCCATGTGACAGAGTTGTCGTCTAGACACAGACTCGGGCTTACTGTTGCCTACTGAGGCTGGCTGGGGTGCTCGGGGGCCCTGTGTGGGTGCCCCCAGCAGGGAACTGTGCAGTCCTTCCCAGGCCCAAGGCAGTGCCAGGGCAGCATGGAGCAGCTGGGCGGTATGGCATTTCATCATGTTGCCAAGTCATCCCTGGGAAGGACCACAGGGGCAGCTGTGAGGGCACAGGGAGGACCCGACGGGAATGGCAATGCCGCAGGCTCCGGTGGAGGTGCTGGGCCTTTGAGTTTGACATGCTTGATGCATACCAAACAGTGATGGGTTTGATTCCTGGACCAGAGGACTCAATTGAGTTGTATGTCCTGTGCTTTTTATTTATGTTTTTAACTTTATTTTATATATAAATATATTTTTTTGATTTCAGAGAGGAAGAGAGAGGGAAAGAGATATAGAAACATCAGTAATGAGAGAGGATGATGGGTTGGCTGTCTCCTGCACGTCCCTTACTGGGGATCGAGTCCACAACCCAGGCATGTGCTCTTGACTAGAATGGAACCTGGGAACCTTCAGTCCCCAGGCCGATGCTCTATCCACGGAGCCAAACCAGCTGGGGTGTACTTTCTATTTAAACATTCAGTGCCTAGGATCACATGTTTTGAAAGGTCCCCAACCCAAGGCTCCCTGCCTTCTACTCTGTCTTCCTTTTTGTTGACGTTTTGACGATTGTCTTGCTGAGATCCGTCAGTCAGGAGCTCCTGTGACTCTCCCCCCCCCTTTGTAGAGGAAGCGGCGAGGAGGGGCCGTCAGCTCGAGACAAGCCCAGAAGCGAGCTCGGGAAGCAGCCTCCGCCCCGGGCATGGCCTTGGAAGCGGAGCCCATAGAGCTGGTGGAAAGCGGTAAGCTCCCGGGGCGCTGACCAGGGTGGTGCCCAGCACTGCCGCCGACCAGCACGGGTCTCCCTTTCCTCCTCCGAAAGGGGATGGCGCGCCTGCTGCCCAGCTGTCATGTGGCTGAGACAGTCGGCAAGGTGACCGTGCTGCAGGTGAGCTAGCGCGCTGTCGCTCTGACCACAGCTCAGACTCGCTGCTCACAGCCTCCCAGGGCTCCAGCGGCTGCTCGCTCGGCTGGCTGCCCGTCAGCCTTCGGGGAGTGGCCCGCCTTCGCTGTTTGAAAGCGTGTCTCCCATGTGCGTGGCCTTGTGGAGACCTCAGATTTCCTCTCCTCCTTCATTAAGACAAAGAATGTCCAAGAAGGCAGACATGTGGCCAGGCTGCCTGCCCCGCTGCCTGCCCAGGGAAGTGCAGGTGGCAGCGCTGGACTGTCGTTATAACTCTGACCTGAGGCTCGATGCGCGGAATTAGTGGAAGGAGCTCGGCCCAGCCCGCCACAGCGGCCACCTCTGCCTCAGCCCTCCCGGCCCCAGCTTCATCCAGGACATCTGGTCTGATTAGCATATTATACTTTTATTATTACAGGTTATTATAGATACCTGAAAACTGACTCTAAGAGAAACAGCTGGTCTCAGATACATTTCGTGGGCCCTCCCGAGCAGTGGGTCACTCAGGACCATGAATCCCAAAGAGCCCAGAGCCTGAGGCCCTGGCTCACCCAGCCGCTGCCCAAAGGCTGGCACCCCGGGTCTGCCCTCCCTTCGCTAGGGGAGGCTGGTGCAGCGGCTGCTCCTCGGGTTTCCGGCAGCCGCACCCTGTGCAGGGCTGAGCACCAGCTGTCCTGGGAGGGTCGCTTTTATGTGAAAGAGCCCAAAATTGGGCCCACCGGCAAGAGAATGAATGGGTCTGTGAATCACGGTGTGTTGCTATGTGGACTATTTCAAAAAGAACAAGGTCATTTTGTATAGATTACATTGGACATCTCTGATATAGTGTGATTTTTATTCCTCAAACTTTTTTGCGGGGGGGGGGGGGGTGGGTTTCTTTTCAGGTTTTTGTTTTTTGTTTTTTTCCCAAGTGTATTTATTTATTTATTTATTTATTTATTTATTTTTTCAGAGAGAAAGGGAGAGGGTCAGTTAGAAACATTGATGAGAGAAAAACATCCATCAACTGCCTCCTGCACACTCACTACTAGGGATGTGTCTGCAACCAAAGCATATGCCCTTGACCAGAATCAAATCTGGGACCCTTCAGTCTGCAAGCCAACGCTCTGTCCTCTGAAACTTTTGATACAAGAAAATAAAACAATTTGAACATGCTAAATATGTTACAAGTCACTTCCCCCAAATTTAAACAAATGCTGTTTTAAAAATTCTAACCTCATGCTTTCTAAATTTAGTAACAGGAAAACGGGTACGTCTTCCAGCGGGTAGGACTGGAGAGTACTCTGCCTTCATGTAGACATACGGGCCAGCAGACGCTGGGCTCCTGCTCTTCCCCGCGTTGTCCTGTGCTCACAGGGACACTGCAGTGGGCCCTGGGGCTCAAAAAGGCAAGCTGCAGGCCAGACCTGACCCATTTGGGTGTTGGGGTGCCAGAGCCCCTTAAAACATAACTAATGATCCTGGCCAGTTTGCTCAGTGGTTAGAGTGTCAGCTCCAGCACTCAAGGGTAGCAGGGACTCGGGCACATACCTGGGTTGCAAGTTCCATTCTTAGCCCTGGTCAGGGCGAGTGCGGTGTGCAACTGATTGATGTGTCTCTCTCACATCACTGTTCTTCTCTCCCTCTCTCCCCTTCACCCCCTTGCATTCTCTAAAAAGCAATGGGAAATTATCTTCAGGTGAGGATTAAAAATAATAACCACTGAAGGTACTGAGCTAAGTATGACCAGGTCTGAGCAGGTGGCAGTGTGAGGACACGGGGACGAGGCGCGTGAGCACAGACACCCCCATCCCCAGTGGGTGCTTGTAAACTCAGCCAAGTTCTAGGGGGCGCTGCTTGCTGTCACCTGCAGAGGCTGGTCCTCATGCTCTGCATTCTGTACTGGGGGGTTGCTAGAAGCCTGGGCTCTGTTGTCGTTAATGTTTGTTCTCGTGCTCTGTTTGAAGCTGGAGATGAGATAGTGGACCTCACCTGTGAGTCTCTGGAGCCTGTGGTGGTGGACCTGACGCACAACGACTCTGTGGTGGTAAGCCTCTCCCTGTCGGCCCGGCAGCACGCGTCAGAGGCCTCGGCCCGGTCAGGGTTCGCTTTGTGCGGAAGCAGCACAGTGCTGTCCCAGCATCGCTGCTTCAGGGACGTTGCTGGGGCTTCGCTGCTTGTGGAGGGAAAACCTGTGTGCCCCTGACCTCCCCTCAGCGGCACCAAGCCCCTGGGCGAACTCCGAGGGGCCCTTCCCTCAGCCCCTGACTCTACACTGCACACTGTGTGACCCCAGTGTCTCTCAGCCTCGCTCACGTGGTTCACAGAGGGGCATGTCGCTGGAGCAGTAGGGTGTTGTGAGGACTAAGAGACGCTGCCTTGAGAGCCTGGCACCTGGGGTGGTGCCCACGAATACCAGTGCATTCCTCCCGCTGGTTCCCAGAGAAGCTGCCATGGAGGATTGGGTACCTGGCATTGCCACCTGGGGCCTCGGTTGTGTGTGACTCTAGGGCAGGGGAGCCTGGGAGGCCGCTGGAGCCCCTTCCTGTGGACTCTGAGCCCTTGAGGGAGGAGACCTGGGATGGTCAGAACGCACGGGGGTCTGCTCAGCGTTTCCCTGGGCGGTTCTCCCCAGGACACCACTTTAGCACCTTTGGTTACAGGGGGCCTACCATCCTATATAATAAAAGGCTAATATGCAAAATTGACAGAACAGTGGAACGACCGGTCGCTATGATACGCACTGACCACCAGGGGGCAGATGCTCAACGCAGGAGCTACCCCCTGAGGATCAATGCTCTCCCACAGGGGGACGCCAGTCAGCCAGAAGGGGCTCACAGACAGGCGAACACAGCAGCGGGAGCGGGAGCCTCTTTGTCTCCGTGGCATCCCCCTAGGCTCCCGGGCTGTGAGAGGGCGCAGGCACATGTTTCGTGCACCAGCCTCTAGTTCGTTGTGTTTCTGCAAGTCTGGTTAGGTTTATTTCAGGGAAGTCGCTTGTTCCTACGTACATAACATTCTGAGTTGCTATTGAAAATGGTGTGTGGCCCTAGCCGGTTTGGCTGAGTGGAGAGAGCATCTTCATTGGACTGAAGGGTCCAAGCTTTGATTCCCGTCAAGGGCACATGCCCAGGTTTGGGGCTCAATCCTCAGTAAGGGGCTTGCAGGAGGCAGCGCATCAATGATTCTCTCTGATCATTGATGTTTCTCTCTCCCTCTCCCTCTCTGAAAACAATAAAAATACATTTAAAAAGAAAGGAAGAAAGGAAGTGGTGAGGAGTCTGACTGGTGCGACCCCATCAGTGGTTGAGTGTTGACCTAAGTACCAGCTCACAGTCCCTGTCGTCGGCTGGAGGGAGCCCTAGGGGAGACGTGCAGGAGGATGATCAGGGATTCCCTCTCATTTTTTCTCTCCTTCTCCGAAGTCAGTACAAACATGTTTTATTTTTCCTTAAATATATTTTATTGATTTTTTACAGAGAGGAAGAGAGAGGGATGAGAGTTAGAAACACTGATGAGAGAGAAGCATTGATCAGCTGCCTCTTGCACACCCGCTACTGGGAATGTGCCCGCAACCAAAATACATGCCCTTGATCGGAATCGAACCCGGGACCTTTCGGTCCTCAAGCTGATGCTATATCCATTGAGCCAAACCAGTTTCGGCCAAACATGTTTTTAAAAAAGAAAAGAAAATGGTGTGGCGTTTTTGTTAGTTTTTAATCCTCATCCGGTGATATGCTGACTGATTTTAGGGTGGGGGGAGAGCATCAATTGGTTGCCGTCCCTACATTTCCTGACTGGGAACCGAACCTGCAACCTTTCAGTATACAGAACGATGTTCCAAGCAACTGAGCCACACTGGCCTGGGCACAAATGGCGTTTTAAAGTTCTATTTTATTTGTTTCTAAATGAAATGGTGACATTCTTTTCTCCTTCCAACTCTGAAAGAACCATTTCAAAGTCTCGCTGTTAATAAGACCTCTGGGGTGTGTGTGTGTGTGTGTGTGTGTGTGTGTGTGTGTTTACACGCACTCTCAGGTCCCAGGCATCCAGTCCTGTGTGGCTGCAGGATTCACCTGGGGATGCATTTTACTTCTCTCTGCGCCGTCTGGTGATGTTTTCTCTCCCTTTCGTGCATCAAAGTGGAGAATTAACATTAATTTCTAGTCTTAAACCGATTCACGTTGTGGTCAGAAATTATCTTCTTGAATATTGCTCGATTCAGTTTGCTAATATTTTGTACTGTTATTTTTGCCAGAGTAAGACTGGTTTGTAGTTTTTCTTGTATCACAGTGTCGGTAACTTTATACCGTGAGTCCCCCCCTTTTCTGTTCTCCAGAAGACTGCCCAGTTGGCATTCTTCCTTCCCTGAGTGTTTGATAGAACTCGACAGTGCTAGCACCTAACCCCGACTTACAATGAGTTGGAGTGATTTTCGTTTTTAGGGATTTGTCCATTTTATCTAAAATTTTCACTTTTATTTGCATACATTTTGTTCATAATGTCTTATGTTCTGTGGGATCTGTAGTGGTGTCTTTTTCATTTCTGATACTAGCTGTTTGTGTTTTCTGTCTTTTTAGATTAGTATCACCAGAGCTTAATTAGATTTCAGAGAACCAACTTTTAGCTTTGTGGACCCTTTCTCTTGTAAGTTTGTTTTTATACATTGATTTTTGTTTGAGTTTATTTTGCTGTTTTTCTAACCTAATAATTTTGATTGTGTCTTTTTCATAAATGCATTTAAGGTTATATTTTCTTGAGCTGTATCCTACAGATCTTGTTATTGGTATTTTACATTCAGTTAAGTGTATCCTTCAAATTTGTATTTTTTAACTTCCAAACATTTGGGGACTCTCCCGTTTTCATTCCTCATTCTCTACGTGACTAGCCTGCAGAGGCATCTGCCTGCCAGCCCTGGTTATTGGCTGACACTCCACTGCGGCCTGCGTGGGCGCTGCCACAGGATCAGCAATGTGTCTGTCACTGCGGGGGGCGGGGGGAGGCAGACGGTGCACCTGCTGGTCAGAAGAGCACCCTTTGGTGATGGTTGGGTGCGGCTGTGGTTTCCAGGGGAACCGGCTGTCTAAAGCAGGTGGCTCCGAGCTCTGGTTGGGAGCAGCGTCCTTAGGAATTCCGGGGTCAGCTGGCCAGCTGGCGCAGGGACCCCAGTGTTCCTGACGCAGGATATTGCTTCAGCCCTAGGAGGCCCCCCGGAGGCCGGGCATTTGTCTCCTGGAGAAGGGCTGGTCCTCCGCTCACCAGGAGCCTGAGGCTCATCTGCTGGAGACGCTCAGAGGTGACCTGGGTCAGAGCCCGGGGGAGAGCAAGCAGCACCAGGTTCTCCATCCTGCACGGTCTGGACCAGCTTCCCTCGGTCTGCCTGCTGCTCAGGCCGGGCACTGGGAGTGGCTGTTGTTTAAGTTTGGTATTTGTCTATTTTGTGTGTTTTTTTTTTTGTTTGTTTTTTAATTAAGACAGCTACTTTATTTGTGTGTATGGGGGGGGTTATTATTAATTTCAGAGAGGAAAGGAGAGAGAGAAACATCGATGAGAGAGAATCATTGATTTGCTGCCTCCTGTACAGCCCCTACTGGGGATTGAACTCACAACTTGGGCATGTACCCTTGACCGGAATACAACCCGGGACCCTTCAGTCCGCAAGCCGACACTAACCACTGACCCAAACCAGTTAGGGCTGTTTTTTTTTTTTTATTGATTGATTTTATAGAGAGAAGCATCCATTTATTCCAGTTATTTATCAGTTCTTTGACTGACCCTTGTATGTACCCTGAGCAGGGACTGAACCCACAACCTTGATGCTCTCACAGCTGAGCTCCCGGCCAGGGCATGGGTGCTTGTTCTGTGAAGGCCTCTCGGCAGAGGCGAGGCTCTGGCTTTGCTGTCCCTGGCCCATCTCTGTGCTCCTCAGCCGTGTCTGAAGCCCGGAGGAGGCACAGAGCAAGCAGCCACACCTCAGGGCTCCCGAAAGGATGTGGTCAGGCGCGGGTGGAGAAGGACGAGGAGGTGGCAGTGGCGCAGGAAGGGCGTGGCACCCAGGCACCTGCCCCCTCTCGGCTGTTTTCCTGTTGTATAATAGACGGGGAACCAGGCGCCCAGAGGGGCTCTGCTAGCTCAGTGTGGGGGCCCTGCTGTGTGCCGGGCCGGTGGGGACCAGCTCCCACACGCTGCCGGGAGCCGGGGCATCCTGTCCTCCCGGCACTCACCTCCGGGCACAGCAGACCTCCTGTGGCCTCTCCAGACTCACGTGGACAGTATCTGCCAGCCAGCCCGTGTGTGTCCCAGTAACTGTGGCCCCGACGGTGAGGATAGCTCCCAGTTTGTCCTCCCACCCTGCGGCTCCCGGGGAGGGGACGGGTGTCAGGAGCCACATTGGGCTTCCTGCTGCTGCTTCCTGGGATGGGTGGCTGTGCCGGTCAGTGGCCAGGCTGGAACCCCGGGCCACTGCTGTTGTCCCAAAGCAGAAAAGGATTTTACTGGTGGGAGCAGGCGCCTCGCATGAGAAGGCTGGAGGAACGGGTCTCCAGAAGTAACTGTAGCTTCTCAGCCTGAGCCTGCACCCAGCCAGGGTCCGGGCGGAGAGGGCCTCAGGCTGCCCCGGAGAGCCCAGCCCGTGCCAACCGGGGGGCTTCGCCTGTCCCACGTGCCCTGGCCGGTCACTCGGGGTCGGGAGCTGGTTGGAAATGGCGGAGCAGAACGGATCTGGGTGTCAGGCTGGGCATCCGGCAGGGGCTCGTCCAGGTCTCGGTCACATCACGGGGTCCAGCGGGTCCTTGTTGGGTACACGGCACTCGTCTCTCACCTGCCTGCTTCCGTCTGGTGTCAGCTCTCACAGGGCTAGGCACCGCGCCCCCAATCCCAGTGCCACGACCTTGGTCGCAGGCCCCTGGAGTCAGTCTTATCGTTGGAGCGTGTGTGGAGCTAGTCCTGGGCTCCGTGTCCCTGGAGCCTGCGGCCAGGCCTGGTCTCCCTTAGTCCTCACAACAGCTCTCGGATGGCCCCGGAACTGACCAGTTATAGGGCTGCAGACCCAGGGTGGGCTCGCTGGTCCCCTGGGGATTTTGCATCGAAATAAATGCTTTGAAGTTATCATTTGTGCATTCAGACGATACAGAAGGTTTTGTGTCAAACTGATTGTGTCTTTCTTTTCTCTTTTTTGAAAGATCGTTGATGGTGAGCGTTTGCTTGTTCGTTGGGTTGGATGGACAGCTGACAAGGCCAGCGGGAGGGCACCCGCAGTGATGCTGCGTTCCGATTGGCCGTTCGACTGGGCCAGGCCCGTAGCTTGGCTTGTGTCCTCAAAGCAGGGATGGGCTTCTCCTGGCGAGACACGGGGGCTCCTCGGGCTGGGCGGGACTGCTGGTGTGGCACTGGGGTCTGAGACTCTGGTGCCACCGCCCACTTTTCCCTGGCTGGGCGGTGGGCCGTGGGCGGTGGGCGGGGAGGCCCCTATCCTGAGTGTGGGCCCCTCTCAGAAAGGAGGCGGCCGAGGAGGAACGCTAGGAGGCAGCGCCAGGACCATGCGGACAGCTGTGTGGTGAGCAGCGATGACGAGGAGCTGAGCAGGGACAGAGACGTGTATGTGACCACGCACACTCCCAGAAACGCCAGGGAAGAGACATCGCCAGGGCTCAGGTACCTGCCTGCCACCCGCTCGCTGCTGCTTCCATCCGGGGACAGGCTCTCGCACCAGGACGCCTTTAGCCTGGGACCTCCTTGGCCCCTCCGTTTCCCAGGGTGCTGGGGTTGTTGGAGACACTTGGCCTTCAGCCAGTGCTCTGACTCCGTGGCCTGGGAGAGCTGTTGAAGCATCGCCTACCGGCTGCCTGCAGGTGGCACTGTTGAGTCCAGGGCCAGTTGTCCCCCCATGGCCAGGGCTTTCCCACAACCAGCAGGCCAGGGTGCTGGGTGCAGGCCCCACCCCAGGCAGGGGGTCCAGGGGCAGAGGTGGAGTGGGGAGGACTCAGTTGCAGGTTGTCTGCGCCTTCCCCTCTCCCTTTTCTGTGGCCCCACTCACCCCTGGGGTGGCCGGCCTCCTGTGAGAGCAGGGCCAGAGGAGGCTCTTGGAGGCGAGGCTGCGTGCACACAGGACGTCCCTGGCGTGAGGCATCAGGTTGGTGTTTGCTCGGCACTGACACGAGGCCCTGTGTTCTAGGCCCTCCGGCACGGTCAGCTGTCCGATCTGCATGGACGGATACGCAGAGGTAAGCACGCCACGTGAGCTGCTCGGCTTCCACACTTCAGTGAGAGAGAGAGACGAGTTAGGTGGGATCTGACGCCTTTCTTCGGTCCTGCCTGGACTGGCACATGGCTCATCAGACCTGTGTGTTCCCTGTCCTGGCCCAGGCAGAAGGCCCCATGTTCGCTTTGGCCCCTGAGCCTGTGCACTGCCCCACCTGTGCCCACACAGCAGCCCTGACCTTTTCAGGCTGTGGGTTCTGGTGCCCGCGGACAGCTGTGTGGTGAGCAGCGATGACGAGGAGCTGAGCAGGGACAGGGACGTGTATGTGACCAAGCACCCCCTTGGGCTGCTTCTGCCGGGAGCCTGGCTGCCAGGCGTCCATGGCCCTCCCCGCCGTGCCTGCCCTTCCCTCGCTGTCGCTGCCCGGGCGGTGGCAGTGGGACTCCCTGGAACCTACTGCTCGGGGCAGACACGTGAAGGTGTTCCTTCTTGTTTTCTAGATTGTGCAGAATGGGCGTGTCATTGTTTCTACAGAGTGTGGCCACGTCTTCTGCAGCCAGTGCCTCCGAGACTCCCTCAAGAACGCCAACACCTGCCCGACCTGCAGGAAGAAGATGAGCCACAAACGCTATCACCCCATTTACATCTGACGCGCTGCGAGCTGCCTCAGGGAAGGTGGACGGCGACATCCCCGGGCTTCTCACGCGGCCTCCGTGGGTTCTCTGCCTCCGATTCCCTGAGCTCAGTGACTTTTAAACCAAGGCCCGAACCGTAAACTGCTCCTTGTTTCCACCTCTGAGGTCCGCTCGTGACCTCCAGCTTGATGCCTCGGCGGAAGCCCAAGCCCTGTGGCCGGGCGCAGCCTGCTCCTGGCGGCCTGGCCCCAGCAGCGAGGAGCTGGGCACCTCGGAGCGAGAGGAGTTCCAGCCTCTCCGAGACCCGCACGTTTGCCAACAAGCTTCCCACGTGGGAGGCGTGCGCAGCTCCCTCCAGTGCTGTCAGGAGCCGGCCCTGGGCAGGGCATGGCCAGTCTACCCAGCTCCTGCGGGCATGCTACCTCACCCAGGCCTCTGCCCGCACGGTGACCGAAGGACCAGCCTGGGCTCCTTCCTGGCACCTTAGCAGTGACACGCAGGGGTTTCTGAGGGCGTGGTCAGGCCCTGAGGATGAAACGTGCAATAAAACCCGCCCGCCGCCGCCTCCTCGCAGCCCAGGTTGCAGCACCGTGAGTGTCCCTCAGGCCCCGCCTGTCCTGTCACCCCCGTTCTCAGGAACTGACCAGGCCCAGAGTCCCTGGGCGCGGGCCGAGCACGTACACAGGGCAGCCTGCACCCGGGGTCCACTCCTTCCTCGTCACCGTACGCCCGCTGGTCCTCAGTCCGCCCACGGTCTCCTCCAGTGTGGACGCCGGGAGGCGGTGCAGTATCTGTGGCCTTATCAGCCCACGTCCAGCTGTGCCCACGCCGCAGCCGCCTGTCTCAGCATGACCCGCCGACGGCTGGGTCCCGCCTTGGCCTGCTCACCTCCCCACAACCAACATGCACTTCAGAAGCTGTTCTCTGGCCATTTGGACTGGCCCTGGGGCGTTCTGGCGGCCCTGTAGGTTCTGGTTGGCAGAGTTCGGTGGCCCCTCCTCACCAAGAGGCAGGCAATGCCCCTGCCCACTCTGCAGGCATGGGAGCCTCTGGTCTCCAGGTGGCAGTGCTGCTCCTCAGGCACAGGGCTGAGGGTGACGGGGTGCCAGCCTGCCCCGCCTCCACGCCCCTCCCCACAGGCCTCGAGCCAGACACAGCCTCTGCGTGTGGAGCATCTGCAGGGGGGAGGCCTGGCTGCAGCAATAACTGGCCTTCGGCTCCCTGGGAGGAGCAGGGACTCGGCACAGTTCACTTTACCGGCTGAAGGAGGGCCCTCTTCTGTGAAGTTTTCCTCTTCATTCTGCCTTTTTAGCTGTTTGGCTCACTTCCGGTTAGTCAGTCTGAATGAAAGGAATGATGTTCGACGTGGAGTGGAGGAGGGACATGGCTCCCACGTGGCTGCGCCTGTCACCCGCCGACTGGACGTGGGTGCCATCGTTTCTTCCGGGCTGCGTGGGAGCGTCTCCTGGGCCTGACCGGACCCAGCCTCCGGGAGCCGGGATGACCACGCAGCCCGACCCTTTGTTTGCTGTTTAAGGACAAACGTTGATCATGAAAGTTGTTGTTCTGCATTAAATTGGGGACAATGTTCACTTCTACTGTTCAGAAACTGCAAGATAGGAAAAGGTCCATATGAAAACCCTCCTCCTCAGTGTACATAGTCCAAACCTTCCTTTGTTACGTTTAAACTTGACCCATAATGCCGTCTGTTTTGGACCTCTGCGGCGTTACAGATGGAAATAAAACCAGGAATTTGAACAGAGAGCTTCTTGTGCATTCCTTTGCTCTTTGGGATCAGTTCTTCTGCCCACGGTGTGTGATTCCCGTCTGCCTCAAGTGTAGTATGTTTCGCATCTGTGTGTGCGGGGAACTTGCTTATCTGGTTGCATACCCCAACACCAGCAGGCACCAGGCCACTCCTGAGCCCCCGGGACTCCCACTGTCCAACCCTGGCTTTGGCCCAGGAGTGGGGTCAGGCTCGCTGAAGTCTGGCCAGTGGGTGTGCAGACATACAACTTGCCCTCAATGTGGGTGTGGTGTGCTGATTTGATTTTTTTTTAAATATTTGTGAACTGTTCGCAGTTTTTAATGTAAGTTCTGTTAAGTTACATGTTTCTGAGTATTCATACATCTCATCTCTTTTTAAGTTTTTGGCATAAAAGGTTTCACAAAATATAGTTAATCTCGATAGCATCTTTTTATTACTAATGTTAATTTATGCTTTTTATTTTTCACTAGTGGCCCTGTGCACATTAAAAGGGAATTAATTAGAAGAAATATTATACTTTAATATTGCTTTTTGCCCTTTCTCTATAATAGAAGTGTCTTAGATGAAAGAGCATTAGTAAAATATATGTGAAAACCTTCCTCCTGTCGGAGTCTGGGGCACACCATGGGAACCAGAGTAAAGTCCCTGCGCTTAAATCCTGCAAGACCCAGACCCGGCTGGCCACCCCCATTGGGCTAGATCTAGACTGTGGGGGGGCGTGGCCTGAGGTCCTCTGTCCTGGACCAGTGCCACTCAGACTCAGGTCCCTGCTGATTGCTGTTAAGGCTCATTACTGGGACGTGGCCTCCACTCTGGGTGCATCCATCTTATGTTGCGGGATCCCTCTCTCTGCTGTGGAGGCAGCCATCTTTTTACAGCATGGCGGTCAATTTGCATATTTCTTCTTTATTAGATAGTATCCTCACCCAAGGATATTTTTTTTCAATGACTTTTGAGAGAGCATGAAAGGGAGGGAGGAGGCAGAGGAGAGACAGGACCCCTTGGGGGATGTTGGAGGCCCAGTGCATAATCGGCTCGATCCCCATAGGCCAGGCCAGCCTGAGGGGCCTCACCAGTGCACAAATCTATGTGCCAGGCCTCTAGTGTGCATATAAGATCTTTGTTTAACCTCTTCCTGCCCTTCCCCTCCCACTTCCCTCTGAGATTCATCAATTTGTTACATCATTCCATGCCTGTGTATTGAGCGTCTGCCCACCCGGTGGTCAGTGTACGTCATAGCACTAGTTGAATGATTGCTTAGGCTTTTATATATATAGATGTTTGTTAGAAATGTCTCGATTTCATATTCTGTCAAGTCCAGCATCCGAGCCTGTGGTTCAGAAGTTTCCTCATGGCTGAGGACTTCCTTATGCTCTGTGAGCTTTCCTCGCTCTATGCACCTGTAACCTGGTAGAAGGAAAAGTGTTTATCTTTTGCTTTTAGGCAGTATTTGATGTTACCAACTCAAGGCCAATATATAGTTGTTTCTACTGTGAAGTATAACACACACACACATAACTCATTGGATTATCTCAAAAGTACATCTTAATGAATCGCCGGGAAGCAAATGCCCAGGAGACAACCAGCTGCAGCCAGAGACACATGCCAACACTTGGAGCCACACTCCCTGGCCAGTGCCCTCGACCTGATGTGAGTTTTACAGAAATTACTCCTTAACGTTTAATTAGAAGAACACACAGCCTAATTATATAATGTAGTCTTTGCCTCTTTGAACGTTAAGTAGATGGGATAATTTGTGTGGTTTTTTTTGGAGGGGGTGTCTTTGGTTTATTCATCTTCCTTGCTATTCATCTTCCTTGCTATGTAGTATTTCATTAATGAATATGCTTCCGTTTATTCTCTCAGTCATTAAGTGTTTTGGCTACTAATAGCCAAAATCAAACATTGTGTCTGTCTCTTCTGGTAAGGTTTTGCTTACATGTGGGCATATACTTCAGTGTGAAATAACTGAGTTTTTGGGTATAAACATCTTGGAAAACTCAAAAGTATGTGGAAGTTAACAATTAACTAAGAGATCAAACAAATCACAAAGGAAAGAAAATACCTTGGGAAGATTGCAATAAGAATGCAACGTACCAAAGTATGGGAAGCAATGAAACCAGTGCCAGGGTGTTACAGTCTTATAGTCGTAAATGTCTACATCAAAGCAGTTAGCTAAGGGTGTGCCTACAGAACTAGAAAGAGAAGAGTAACCAAACCCAGAGGCAGAGGGAGGAAGGGAGGGAGGGAGATTAAAGCTGGGATAAAAGACTGAGGATAAGCAACTAGAAAAAATCAAGGACAAGTTTCTTTAAGGTAAACAAAGTTGACAAACCTTTAGCTAAATTGACTAAGGAAAAAGGAGAACACTCAAATTACTAAAACCAGTGAAAGAAGGCATGATTGAACGTGACAGAAATAAGGAAGATGAAAAAAAAAACAAATCGGGTAATCTAGGTGAAATGGATAAATTATTAGAAACAAACTACAAAAGCTGACTCCAGAACAAATAGGAAATGAGTAGACCTGCAAGACGTGACATTTAAACTATTCAAAACCCCAAGCAACAGAGCCAAGGACCAGGTGGCTCACTGGTAAACGCCACCACACAGAGAAGAGAAGGAACACTGCTCTTCCACATTCTTCCAAGAATTTAGAGATGACGGAACACTTCCTAACGCACTCTGTGAGGCCAGTTCTGTCTTGATACTGAAGCCGCACAGACAGACAACTGCAGAGGGGAAGCTGCAGAGTCATACCTTGTGAATGTTGAGCCTCCGCACACTGCTAGCACCCCGAATTCAGCAGCAGTAGGGGTTACACACCGTGACCACAAGGGCTTTCTCCCAGGGGTGCAGGAAGGGCCCAGCCACTGGAAATCCACAGCGCACTGCGTGAGGAGTGTAGAGGGGAGAACATGACCATCGATCGCTGCTGCTGCAGAAAGAGCATGGGCTGCGAAGCCTCATTTTTGTCCAACCATTGAGGCCGCCTTTTCAAATTAACATACAGCACCCATTTTTCATCTCCGGTAACAATTTGCTCTAAAGACGGCAAACGGTTTTGACGAGAGAGGAGCGAACTGCAAATTGTGACTCTGGTTACGGTTGTTGTCGGTCAACTCATGAGGAACCCATTTTCCAAACTTTTGGACTTTGCCAAGTGCACGCAATTAATTGGAAATCGTTTTTTGTGAACAATTTAAAGTTGTCGCAAGCTCTTGTTGGGTAATTTGAGGATTTTGCAC